GTGTGTGTGTGTGTGTGTGTGTGTGTGTGTGTGTGTGTGTGTGTGTGAGTGTGTGTGTGAGTGTGTGAGTGAGTGAGTGAGTGAGTGAGTGAGTGAGTGAGTGTGTGAATATAAGTGTGCATATAAATAAATAATAAATTAAAATTAAAATAAATAATAAATTTTCATTCATATATTTGAGTAGACAAAGGTTCACCGTACAGCCTCTTCATACAAATTCTATTCTTCATTGTATTGATGGAGAAGGCGTGAAGTGTGTTCTATAATTGTTTCACTTAGTAATGACATTTACTTAAACCTATAAAACTGTCCTAAAAAGACATGTTTGGCTAAATATACACGTATTTAAAGAAAGAACAGTACATTTAAAAATTTCACAATACGAAATGCTAGCGTACCAGAGACAAATATCGGTCATTTATTCGCGGGTTAGCGTTCCAAAAGCGAATCAGATTTAACTGGCTCGTGGTACGAATTTTAACCTGCTTCTTTTCTTTTAACTTGCTTCGTTAATGATTAGTTTTAGTAAAGCTCATGGTAAGGCCCCTGTACAAACTTCATCGACCTCTACTCTTGGTTTATATTTTAATATCGAGTTGTTAGGTTTTCGCGATTGTTACACATAGGAAATGAAACTATTTTTCCGCATTTAAATCGCGTATATTTGTTTTTTTTTTTTCAAAGAAACCGACGTTTCGGGCCCTTTACAGATCCCATGGTCACGGTTGACTCTACCGTTGAGTTTACATATCTAAGGATTGTTGTAGTATTCCCAAACGACAGTACCAATTAATTAATTGAGTTATTATTTGATGTAATTGAGTACAGGCAGGTACAATATATTTATCTTAACTTTGCGACGCACAGTGGGTCGGATCTGCGATATTGCGGACCTTGGATTTTTTTCACGATACTTCTCTAAAAAAAATGCCAATCGAGAGATCCTATGATCCTAATTAAATATTGTCGTATCACATTTTGCCATAAATCTAATGGTTTTGTATGGTCCCTACTTTATACCTTTAGTGCCGCATCGTTAAAAGGTTTAGTCGATCCAGTCTTGGAATCACTACAGACGTATTATTAGACCTATCTTCTATAGATTTGCATACTAAATGCGCGTCCAAACCTGCCTATTCACTATTTCTCCCTTTCATTACAATCAATATTCATTCGATAGAGTAAAGAAAATCTTTCGTAGATTTCTTCACTTTCTTTCTTTCTTCGATAATTGCCTCTGTGCAATGGCCAAACGGTTACCACCCTGGACTGCCACGCGGAGATCCCAGGTCCAATTCCCGGGCCGGGAGAAATATTTATATGGTCGTACATTTATTTATCTCTTGAGTTTGGGTGTAATTTGTAGTTGTCTATGTGTGTGTCCATGGCACCCGCGATACAGGGTTTCCCTAGTGCGGGGCTACGAGTGTGTGAGATTTAAAAAAAATCTGTAAAACGCAAAGAAAAATCTGCTGACTCGATTTGTAGTTCGGTTGAGCCCGCGTCTGTGCGAGCTCGAGTCCTGTCCGATTGAATTTTTTTTCTATTCTAAATCATAATGTTATTAAGTGACGGGGCGAGCAAGTTGCAGTGCCACTCAAAGCTTTAAATCGCAAAGATCTGAGGGGCACTGTTACCCTGAGACATAATTTGACAAGACCCATGTGCCTGATATTTCAACAGCATTCTTACCCTTCAAAACCGGAAGACAATAAGACTGACATTACCGCTTGGCGTCAGATATAGGTAAGGAGACAGTACTTCCCTAGACGAACTGTCACCAGGAGTTCTACTGCTACTAAAAACATTAAAAATCAATATTACAAGTACATGTTTGAAATCATAATATAATTAAAAATCAATATCACAAACCCTATTCAATTAACCAATTGTAAAGATGCTCCTAATTGAACTAAGAAAATTTTGTGCACTAATCAAACGTACTTTGCTACAATGTTGTTAATTTCAATCTACAATAGCGTTTAAAAATGGCGGCGATAACCTTCAACTAAACTCACTTTCTTGAATATTTATTCACAAATATCAAACTCTATTTAAAATTGTTTTTTTCTTTATAATACCAAATGATAGTACGAACGACGAATGTTATCTCTTTTAACGGCGTATCCTTTCTATTACAATTGGGTAGTAAACCAACGGTTCAGGCCCTTTATAGGTCTTATGCTCACGCCTGACTGTCAGTCAGAAGCGTTGGTTTGTAATTATGAATGTAAGGATAATAATAAGGGTTAATTGCGATAAAAATCTTGTAATAGTGCGTCACATCGAGTAGGACAGAAGCTACCCGACTAAAAGCCCTTATCAAAGAACTTGGTCAGGTTCTATAGGTAGTAAACGCTTTCCAATATGGCGAATCTAAGATGGCTGCTATACAAACCCTGAGCTTGCTGAATCTCTGCCACTAACAATTATATACAGAAGATGAGGTCTTCTGAGAAAATTAAGAATGACTTGACGCGATCATACCAATTACCCTGTTCTCTCACACCCAAAGATGTATCTTTATATAAATGCAGGAGTTATCGCGTAACATACGTACAAAAAAACATACAGACGTATTAAGAACCTCCTTTTTTTAAGTCGGTTAAAAAAAGGTAGAAAGCATCGTGCGTTCCACGGGCGGAGCTACAATTATACTCTATTGTAAATTAGTTAAGATTAAATTTCCAACAATGCATGATGCAAGGCCTCGCTTGCGCCCTCGTATTATAATGTATGTATATAGCGTAAATGTACCAATAATTATAGACAGTATAACGGGAATTATGAAAAAATTACTAAAAAACAATTTGCATTATAATTCCTGCAATGTTTACTAATAACTGTTGTTAAAGCAACGTGTACTTAGTTTTTTTTAGCATTACACAGAAGGGAATCTATAAAAATCGTAAAACAAGATGGCCAATCATGTTTATTACCTTTATGTTAATTATTACAGTTTTTTTGCTTGTGTCAATTACTAAAGATTAATAAAAAATGTCCTGTCTTTACAAAATTAATCTCTTCGCGTTTATTTGTATTTGCGTATTTGACAAACAATCACCAGTGTAGATGGCATGTGTGACAAAGTATTTGCCTATTCGACAAATACAGCAAACACCATACTCGCGTTAGGACGCGTTCCCATTGCATCGTAACGTTTAATTTATCGTTGAACGACTGTCGTGTCTAGTTGTTTTCAATAGATCGTGAGGACAAATTTATCGGTTCACGGCAACACCCGTTTGCGCGACAGTATCGTTTGAAGCTGCGATTATCTATCGTCACTAATTTATCGTCATACTAGTCTTCCCATTGTCGCGATAGTCTATCGTCGATAAGTCAAAAAAGTCGTGAACGACAATTAATTGTGTTGTGCTATACCTATGTGAACAACCTGTCTCGCTGGTGCCGTGGACGCACACATAGACAACCACAAAATGTACATCCAAACTCACTAGAGAGAAATAAATGTAGGCCATACAAATATTTCTCCCGGCCCGGGAATCTCGATAGCGCAGTATGGTAACCGTTCTGCCACGTAGTAGATATGAGCGCCGATAATATACCAACCGCAGCACTCTGGGGTCCAGATTGTAAATTGCCCTAACCTCACGTTTCTGCAGGACAAAGATTAATATCGGTTTACATTGAATCTTGTCCTCCAGTTCCCAAATTCTCCTTTGAATGGTCCCAGACTTTTTGAAGTCGTGATGATGACTTGTAAAATGGAGACATTTTGACTAATACCATTCTTATCTCTTTGTCTACAGTGATGTCAAAATTCGCCGTTCGCGTAGACGCAGCGGTCTCAGCTCTCGGCGGCGGCGGCGCTGGCGGTCTTGATGAAAACGATTTTATCGACGCTTCAAGACTCGTTTATGATGCTGTCAGGGAGATTCGACGCGCCGTGCTGATGAACAGGGTGAGTGTTTCAGAAGATGATTGATGATAGGATGATGAAATTGTTTCGTTCAAAGTTAACTGCCTCAGTGGCCGAACGGTTACCATGCTGCCACGCAGAGGTCCCAGGTTCGATTCCCGGGCCGGGAGAAATGTTTGTATGGCTTACATTTATTTCTCTCGTGAGTTTGGGTGTAATTTGTGGTTGTCTATGTGTGTGTCCATGGCACCCGCGACACAGGGTTTCCCTAGTGCGGGGCTATGTTGAGTGTGTGCGTTATTTATTTATTTATTATTTAAAGGAACGCGACCGCAGAAAGCGTACGAATTTTATCAAGATTTCCCATGCTACAGGATACAGACCAGAGATGGGCAGTGGGTTAAAACAATCCCAATCAACCCGCCCGGGTTTTTACCGAGTTTTCCCATTTTAACCCATTTCTGTCCAAAAATCATGGATAGAAATGACAAATATGGAAATTGGTATAATTCATTACTTATTACACATTTCGATGTAGAAAATCTTTTTTAGACGAAAAAGAGGCAACTCCACACAATGCCCACCTTGCAATTCTGTGGATTCTCACTTCTATGGATGCACCTTACGATTCGATTTTTATGAAGATCGATTTAAGTGCATACGATCTAACTATTTTTGGGAACGAATCGAGTCAATAGAAAGGCAAATCAAATCGTTTAGATCAGAAAGAAATACAGTTTTGTAATAATATCATTAATTTCAATATTACTTATATATGATAGTGAATGTTGGGTTTGGCAGAAGAAGCATGAAAGTAGAATTAATGCAGTAGAAATGAGAGCGTTGAGAAGTATGGCTGCAGTGACCCGGATAGATAAATTACGGAACAGTGTGATAAGAGAGCGTTGCGGCGTAGAAGAAGATATAGTGACAAATATAGAGAAAGGAATGCTTAGATGGTTCGGACATGTAGAAAGAATGAATGAAAGAAGACGAAACAGATTTATAAGGCGAGTGTAAGTGGGCGAGCGAATGGCCTAATTGAGGCCATCCTAAAGAAGGGCCAGGTCAAGAGTATTCGTAATCGACGAGCGTGTATAAAAGCATTGATGCGTGTTGATGAGGCGAAAGATGTGTGTCAAGACCGTAGCAAGTGGAAGACTGTTGTCTCTGCCTACCCCGATGAGAAAAAAGACGTGAAGTATGTGTATGTATACATATACTTCACGCAACAAAGTAATCACTGACTCCAACCATAGACGGTTTGGTGATGGTCAATTGTAGTTTGTTTAATTTAGTTATACTAGCGGTTTTCTCTACCTATATAAGCATATTTGAAATTTTTAAATTTTCATTTTAAGCCTTCAAATCCTTACACTTAGATACTCGTTCGATTTCAATTGAAATATTCGATTTACTAATCGATTACAAAAACTTAAATTGAATGAACCGAATGTTTTTTTTTCGTACAGCACTATGCAACCATAGACAATTCATAGATGTATAGATGAAAAATAACCTCACTTTTGGACTACCATTTTTCAAATACAATTTTACGATGCTATTCAAATAAATATTGTTGGAAAAAGTGGTGAGATATCAAGTCGAAATCTTCTAAATATACGTGAAAGTGTTAATTTTTCGATTTATCGAGTGGTTGCCATACCAAACAGGTTTGTTTACTTTTTGTTGAAAAAGGATTGGAACAGACTTTATGTATGTAATTTCAACAAAACTTGACTTACAACAAATAGTTTTAAATTGTTTTGCCCTCGATTTTGAGCGTTAACAAAGTTTAAAACCCAGGCGTTTGCCCGTCTCTGGTTACCGTTAGCGGTAGGTATTGCACTAACTACTCCAAAAACACCCTCGTGATATCGATATCGCTTACTGCGTCGCTATCACGAGTACCATCCTGTAGGACAGAGTCCCTATTCTGCCCTTACAGAGCACATGAAGCGGTTTAATGAAAGTAGAGTGGAGAGAGACATTGGAAGAGTATTCGGACCAAATCAAGAATGTTCTATAAAAGGTTAGAGTGCGTAGTGAGAGGATGAAAGGTCTTGTAAGTGAAGCCAGAGATGTTTGTTAGGATCGTACAAAGTGGCAATCGATAGTCTTTATCTACCCCAATGGGAAACTAAAAGTGTGAGTACATGCCGCGATATGGTCCGAACCTTCGACCTTACCATTGAGAAGCAACTGTTCTCTCTGCACCACCATTAAATAGACGACCTCGATGACCCAGCGATTAGCATCGTGAGCACTGGATGAGATCATGGGTCCCGGAGTGAATTCCATTACTCGTCATTATGCTATAAGTTTTGAAGGGATTTCTGAAGTATAAGACGTTTTATCGTTTGTAACATTGTAGTCTTCCGCTCAAAGAGCAGAGGAAGACTAAAGATGGGCAGATAATGTGAAAGATGATATATTCGTGAAGGGACTGAAAGATTCAGTGACGCGTGACAGGGTTGATTGCAAGGTGGAAGCTTAGCACCGACACCAAAACATGGGTTTAGGCCAGGGAACATGTCTTTCAAGGGTGTCCTCACCCAAAGGAACATTATCTTGGTTCATTTCCTGATTGGCTATCAGCTTTGTGACATATGACAAAATTTGCCTTCATCTTGTAAAGATGGTCAGAAGGTCTTAACAGCTTCTCTTCCGATAGTACCAATAAAGCTTCCATCAGGTTTCAAGATTACAAGGAAGATACTTACCGTGAACACAGAAAACCATTAAAATTTAAAGAAAAAACAGCAGTTAGTTTCATGCAATAATCTGAAAACACTTTAGGAGGAGGAAGAGCTGGACCCAGAAGACGTGGAACTCGATGAGCACTACACTTTGGAGACACGCAGCAAATGTGAGCTCGCATCATCACGATGAGCATGGGCCTTTGGAAATTATGTTCTGTTGCAGCTGCTATGTCTTGTAGAGAACGTGCCAGTCGCTATTAGTGGTTTTGATGGCAGTGTTGTGAAGCTTTGTTTTATGCCGCGCCCTCATTGGCTTATAAGTGCTGATTTATGATTGGTTGATCGCGCATTAGACGCCACGGCATCAAACGGTAACGATATCGACTTGGTAGTACCGGTGTAAGTAAAATAGATGGCGTTAATTCAATGGTTTGCGGCAGGAATCGCGGACTCTAACACTCGAGGTTTTTTTTATGATACCTAGTGACGGAACGAACAAGTCGTGACCTGATGGTAAGGTACACGCCTGTCTATAACAGTTGCAATGCTACTCGGTTCTTGGTATCACAAAGATTTAAGAAGCACTGCCACTGCGTCCGTCACCCTGAGACATATCAACTGTGAACGGGATGAAGAAAAAATCATTTATATAGCATCTGGTTTATTAAATAGAAATATGTAGTGCAACATACCTGTGGAATAAAAATATCTAAAAACTACCTATTTTTATTTAATTAACCAGATGAGATATAAATGACACAAACAATTTTTTTCTTCATCCCGTTAAGTTCTCAAAATTGAGATAGCACCGATTGCCAGTTCCCAGTCGATAACTTGACGAGCCCCATGTACCTGTAATTTCACCAGCACCCTTTCAAAACCGGAACCCAGTAATGCTGACATTACTGCTTGGCGGCAGAAATAGGTAAGATTGCAGTACTTCCCTGGACCAACTCTTTCAGAAGGAGCTCTACTGCTATAGGTGCTCGTGTGACCTGCACCATAGGTAAAGCCAGCAGCACTATTGCGGCTTACAGACCAAATTTGACCTTACCAGCCTTTAATGTAAACACGGCCCCAATAAATACGTGCTGTGCGTTCTACATAACAACAACCTATTTTACGAGCATTGCTGCTTATACATATAAGTAGAAGTTTCGAGGCTCCAAATTCAGATTCCCCTGAGAAGAATGAGTTAGAAACTCTAGGGGTTGCTCTTAGTAAAAAACATTTATACACATTTATCATTTACAATATTTATTTCCGATATCATAGACAACCTGGGAAAAACGGAAAAATCATCGGATCCTTTAGATTTGATTAGACCTTACCAGAACACTCAAATGGAACTCAATTTAATATCATATTCAGAAAATGATCCAAAATTGCAAAGAAACGGTCGAGATTTTGGTTCTTACATAGTCTCAGTAATTTCAAACAATAAATAATAAATCGGTTTAAAAAGTTTTAAAAGTCGTAGCAGGAATGGTAACTGTAAAGATATCTAACTGGGTGATAAAACTTTCATAGATTTCTCATAGATGGCTACGACTAAAAAATCGTTGAAAAACCCAAATACAAAGATACGACGCAAGCACATAGAAAAATTCGTGAGGTTTGCTGGTTCGTTCCGTGGCCGTGGCTTAGTTGGTATAGCGTCTAGCACGGTAAGCTAGAAGACGTCGGTTCGAATCCGGCCGGATCGAAGAAATTTTTTCTGAGTGTTCGATCTTTGTATTAATAATTATTTTAAATGTGTTTTCCAGCCGAGTGTTTTAAGATTAGCGCCATCTATGTTTTTGATACCGCACTACCAAAACAGTTTAGATTAATTTCCTAGTCGTTACCGTGTCGTGTCGACTAATGTAAAGACGCCTATTACGAAGTCATCTCTGTTGTTCTAGCAAATGTATATGTGACTATTTTCATGGTGTACCTTAATGTCTATTGTACAGAGCGTCTCACGGCTATGGGATACGGAGGAAAGGTATTTTAAATATTGTAGACAAGATATTTTGATTCATGGAGGTATTGTTTTATTTTTATTCATTTACATTTATGTTCTGGCCTTGTTAAAAAAAAAATTTTTTGTAATATCAAATGACGGGACAAACGAGAGAGCACTTAAAAAGCACTAATGAAATTTTTGGTGTACTGGGATAAATATGATAATATTCCGTTTGAGTGGTTCTAACGTTTACCATGAAATTACTCCTTAAAGTATAGTTTATAAACATTTATATTCAGGGTAAACTTAAAAAACGCTACTTACTTAATAAATAAACACCGAAATCGCCAGCCCAAACAATAACACACACGATTGTCGTAAAGTATTTTTGAAGTTGTTTATTTTTTTTAAATGACAGACCCAGGCATTAAAAACTTTATGGTTTGCTAGAGTAGTTACCGAAATAGTAATTAATATGAGTTCTTTTACCTGTTATAACTTCGATATCCGATAAATCGGTATAAAATCATCACGGGCACCTCTAGGTGTGGTATGCGTCTACGGCTGCATGTATCGCGTGAGCGGCTAAAATATTAATGCAGTATTACTTGCTTTTAAAAAGTGTCTCTATGAAGCAATAATAAAAAATCTCCAGTATCTCCGTATCTCATAGTGGTGGCACGCTGTGTATTATGCACAGTTAAGAATAAAAAACTGCCCCAGAACAGTACAGTTAAAATCAAATTTGAACATCACAATGTAATCCGAAAGATCTGCCACGACATCTGTAATAGTTACTAGTCGTTCTCTGACATGATCACACTCCAATAATATTGCATGATAACCATTCTTTAATGTTTTTTAGGAACATTTGTGTTGTGCCATCATCTTCATAACATTTGGGCCAGAGCCATCTTATTAAAATTGATTGCTGTTAGGAACTATAAAATGTTTCAACAACTATAATTAATAATTACAACATCCATTTGTGTTGTGTGATCATTCTAATTTATTTATGTTGTATAATCAACGCAAACCGGAATGATCACACAACGCTTTTAACATCGTCGTGTTGTACGTTCATCCCTAAAATGTTGTAACACGCTCGCACACCCATTTGTGTTGTACGATCATCGCATGCTAACTTGTTGTGTTGTAAACGCATGTTGTGTAGACGAGCGACGACCTGGACACAGACACGGAGTTCGAGCCGGTTGAGGACATGACCATGGAGACCAGGAGCCGATGTGAGTTGGTGAATATGGGTCGAGGGGTTGTGGCCATTCCGAAGTGGACCTAAAAATTTTAAATCATAATTTTTAGAAACAAAATTTTGTAAGTTTCGTGTCATAATTAGTAAAAACAATTGATTAAACGGCGACACTGTCTAAAGTTCTGAATCGTAATTAATGAAACCACAATATAATCAATTAATAGTAGAAACAAACTATCGAAAGTATTGAATCATAAATAATAAAAACAACAATTGCTCAAACGGCAACACCGACAAAGGTTTTAAGATCATTATCAATAAAAACCCACAGTCGAAACTTTCGAATCATAATTAGTAAAAACTGTCAAAAGTTTTTAATCATAATTTAGTAAAAGCAATTATTCTAACGGTAACACTGAAAATTATTGCTACCGGGTTGTTTTACGGCTTTTGCATTTATTCTGCTATTCCACAGTCAAGTGCACTGTTTATAAGAATTCAACCAAGTTCCACAATAAAGGTCACAACAAGAAAATTAATACAAATTTCGAAAAGCTTTCTCATATAAAATAAAATGTAAGTTCCTATATTATTACGAGACTTTCTTTTATAATAAAATTTAAATTAAAAATCCCGGGAGACAAAACATTGCATTCCATAATTGTAACTTTAAAGAAAACCGACCTCAAAGTCCCCTAGTTTGCCACCCTCAGAGGTGGAATATTTTCTTAAAATTTAAATAGGGACCAAAACTGAGGTACCCTCTTTCCAACGAAACAAGAATCATCAAAGTCGTATCACAAATTATCGTTTAGAGTTATCGCGCAACATTTACAGACAACATAGTAAAAAGGAACTGACAACTTTTTTCTTAATATCTCTGGCGTCAGCTATTTATGCCTTTAACTTGATGACAAACTTAGAATAATAACGCATAGAATGATAGTTTCATATCAAACGAACTGTCACAAGTGAGGCAAAAATCAAATTCATGTAGGCTAGTTTTAGTAGTAGGTTAATTTTCGGTTTTAGTGAATATTTATATAAAAATACAAGTTGAAACGCGTTACTTCCTTGTGGAATGTGATGTTAGTATCTATTTTATGTTTGTCTGACGTATTTTTACACTCATTTACCGCACATTTCGTCATTTTTAGCTAAAATTCTTGATCAGTTCGCGGTGCAAGTTGACCTTGAGCACTGAAGGTCCGCCCGCTCGTGTAGGCCCTTTTGGCGCACTTCAATTTGCCTCACTTAGCGTGTGCGGACTAGGTTTCTATGCGTTATTATTCTAAGATGACAAATATAAAAAAAAAATACGAATAACGATTGCTTTTTAAAATTTATTTTGTCATATCGAGTTTGGTTTTTCTTTTCGGGTCTAAATAGCGTATATTTGTTTTTTTTTTCAAACAACGTTTCGGGCCTTTTACGACTTCCAACAAATATACAGGAGACGTTGAAAAAACTATTGCCTACATTTATTTCTCTCGTGACTTTGGGTGTAGTATATGGTTGCTTGTGTTGGTTTCCTTAGTTATTAAAAACAAAAATCGACACCAAGAATAGTCATGACTAGTTTCAGTAAATGTAACCGAGTTTTATTATATAGTAGTATACTGGCACTTACTGGATAAAAAGTTACCAAAAGTACGTAATTTTTCCGAAAATGACACTCAATTTGAAGAGTTAATAGACGTGTCATATCACAAACTTTGCTTCAGACGTAACCTCACCTTATTATTAAAAAAAATATCGACTCATCCGAAGAACAAAGTCCGATGTGATTGTATAGCGAAAAGAGAATAAATACATAATTTCGTTATTCAAACTGAGATGTAAAGGTGTTTTGAGAATTTATATATCTTATTGCGTTTCGGAAATATAAAATAGAACAACGGTCGACCTGCCATCCACAGCGAAGAAGAACGAACGAAATGTACTATGTCTCGAGGTCTTGCACATAGATCTTTGTTCTACGGATGGGTCTATATATAAAGTCCGTCTTTTTGGAGACGGAGTAAAAATGACATTTGTAGGATTGCCAGTTTTTATAACATTTTAAAATGTTATGTAGTTGTTGTCGAAAGTTTTATCGGTAGATTGTGAAGGAAAATAATATTTTGCCAAAAGTTACTGAATTGGAAATGTTACGACTTTCTAATGATTAGGTACTAATTGCGTTATTGCCTTCTTTATTCTTATTTTGACAGTTGGGCTACTGTATGAGATAAATTGTTATTCATAAACATTTTATGCCCACTTTGATTTATATTGAATTAAAATTAAAAACTTTGTAATATGTCTCCTCTTTGTATTTTTCATAAACATAGGGTCGTATTCTAGAATATCTCAATGCCCAAGTCAGGATTCCACTGGAAACACAAGCACTGGAAATACGACCCTAATGGTAGGGACTTGAGTATGATTTCGAGTGCTTTAAACCATACTCAAGTCCTGGCTTGAGCATTGAGTAGAATTCTGGAATACGACCCTTAGTTCAGTTAAAAATTGACAATTTAAATGAACTTGTGCTCAGTAATTGAATGAATAATGGGTCGGGGATGATTCAAATGGCACAAGTACGACTTTTTATTCCATAAACGTGACCAATGTTCAGTGGATAGTCGATAGAATATTTATCGACTGCAATCACTAGCTGCTCGCAAGCGGGCAACACTTGCACAATGAAATGTCATTTTACTCCGTCTTCAAAAAATACAAAGAATTAGACCCGAAAAAAAATTGTTTCGTTTCTTGTTTATTTTGTCAGTTACACAAAAATGTTCCTTTTTTCAATTGGTTCTGCTTTATATTGAGGGTGCCAACTGATTTTCATTAAAAGAAAGATTTGTTTAGTCGAGATTGGGATCCTTGCGCATGAAGTTGAAGAGGAGAAATAAAAAAGATGTCGTCGATGTCGACAAATTTTATTCTTATACGCTAGCGACACGGCAGCTAAGGAAACTACAAGATCAGCGCCACCTATCACGCTGTCTGAGAACTTGGTAGTGTAATATACATAGTAGATAACGAGAAATCGGATTAGTTACACTACGCAGCCGATAGATGGCGCCGTCCCCCCTACAATTCAAATATTTATGTTATACAGCCTGTCCATTGTTGGACTGGATGTAAGAGTTAAACGAAGTAATAAAATAGGAACTTGTATATTGTTAAATCCACAACCACCACATGTTGTTTGCATGGCTTCTAACGCTTTATTTGTTTATTAAATCCTTATATTTTTTAAGATATCAGAGAAAAACTAATTTATGTCAATTTATTTCACTTAAGGGTCGATACTACCTGTGCCCGAATTAAAATTTTTCCCGTTCTATTACTGGTCATTTTGCTTGAGTCGAGCGACAGGGACATCGTATAGTATACGTGCTCTATTTAGTTCAGTTGATATAAAAAACAATCATTGGTAGTTGTAAAGTGCGTATTGAATACGCCAACGTAACTTGTTCAACATTTTCACTGTTATACGTAATCAACTAAAGCGATTTGAGGTAGTATAGGCTCTTAACATTTTGAATCTAAGTATGTGAGTCACTTTTCTACGTCAAAATTACAAGTTAACTCTTATAGACTCTCACGTGAAATCAAATACTGTCGTAACTCTAAAATGATGAAATTGAGATTTGAAAATTAAAAAAAACTAAATGAATCTTATTGCGAATAATGGAATTGTTTTGTATACGTGCTAGCTCACATACTCAACGACTAACTCGTTGCATACGAACTGTAGTTTTTATTAATAATATGCCTATGTGTGTTGACAGCAAGCGCTCATACCGGTGAACATGGAGTCGACGAGTACCCCGACATCAGCGGTATTACTAACGCCAGGGTGAGTAATTCATTGTTCCATTGGCCCGTACCATGGCACCAAATTGCACCTAATACAATAGTGTATTCAGTATAGCTGAAAAAGGAATTAGTCAGTTCCCGTTGAAAGATTATTATAATTTATGTATAGGTTAAAATTTATTAGACATATGAACCATTTCCTATTTGCCAAATAGTTAAAAATAAGTGAAAAATAAATTCATATTTTTGAGTAAGGACTGTTTTGGACACACGTTTGTCTCATTCTGGGTTATGTAGATATATTTTAATGGTTTTTTACAATATTCCAATGATAGTTTTATTGACATGTAGAGAAACAAATTTTACGTTCAGTAATGGTATAATCTTGAATTTCACATTTTTTGAGTTATAACACTATTGTAACAATAATGCGATATCTGTTATAAACCACCCCGTAACAATATTTAATTCAGTTGTTAAAGCTAAGTTTGCTTATTTGATAATGAACTATTGTTATACATTTTAAAGAACAAGGACAACGATATGAAATTGCGTATATAGGTTTTTGTAGTTTTTAAATATTTTACGCTATATTAGTTATCATTAACGTATTTCTAATTACTCTCACGTATTGAACTTTATTAAAAATGTTCTCCTCACCTTCTTGCAGTAATATGTATGTCGATAGTTTCTAATATAAGGGCCAAAGTAACAATTTGATCATTTTCATTTTTTTGTGGAGATGCTTCATTTCATTATAGTATATAAGGTAGCGTTAAAACAAAATCATGTTCAAGGAAACCTCGAAATGCAAGAAAATCTTGAAAATATACCCGATTGAAAGTTTGGAAGCCTCTCCAGTAAAATTGCGATTTTGCGCTTTGGCCCGTATGCATAGGACACATCGATGTATCAATTTGTTTGTGTTTATTATTTCTTTTCATCTCGTTTGTCACGCTCTATTTTTACGTCGATAAAATTACTGTACAGAACTGTCCAAATGTATTAAAATCAGCTGTGACCTTGCAGTCATTAGTCGCGGTGCTCGTGATAACATAAAAATGTGACGTCACGGAGCTGGCCATGTTAGCTATCGTGATAAAATTTTTATCACTTAAAGTTGAGAGCTAAATGTGGATATAATAGCTTTATCGAAGCGGCGTACTACGGGGGTTGACCATTAATTGCTATTCGCTAAAACATTTCAGGAAGCCATGCGCAAAATGACGGAGGAGGACAAACGCAAGATCCTGCAACAGGTGGAGCTGTTCCGTCGTGAAAAAATGACATTCGACAACGAAGTGGCGAAGTGGGACGATGCTGGTAACGACATAATCATGCTCGCCAAGCACATGTGCATGATCATGCTCGAGATGACTGATTTTACCAGGTGTGTTTAGAAATGGTTGTGAGTGATTGGAAGTTTTTGGGGTAAATTGGTTGGCAAACGGGAATATTTAGGGGCAAATGAAAATGAGTTGGTTATGTTTCACAAATCCCCACTGGTGGGAATCCTGATACTTGCTACGCAGTGGCGATTTGTGGAAAATTTCCTCACCAAGGTATTTATTATTTTTATAAAATATTTATGAAACTAAAACACAACAATGAAAAATGTAAATAATAAGCTTAATCGGGAGGTAACTATGACTTTGTTCATATTAATAATTTGTATGTACGTGAATAAATTGTGGCAAATTGTGCTTGCAGTGCTTCTACTAAATTATTATTGCCTGTTTTTGTGTTCCCGTATGCAACCAAATAAAAATCTTCTACTATTAAAAAACTTGCACTTTGTAATCGATATTTTATTACATTATGATAAATTTACTACAAGACATTTTGAATATCCTTGTAGTAGAACCGAATTGATTTTTCTTACGCGTTTTAGGGCGAAGATAAGCAATTTTTTTTTAACTGCGCATTTAAGATTAATTAATATTTTGATATATAATAATTTTAAGTTAAAAAGTCCATTTTAATGTAAGAAAAAAACAATTAACCTGTGTCGTAGTGATGACGGGACATTGCGCTGCAAATAAAAATTTCTTGGTGGGGATTTTTTTGCGTAGCAAGTACAACGTTAGTGGGGATTTATGGAATAAAAATTAAAAAAAATTGTGGATTCTCACCTGTGGGGATTTGTGGAACATACCGTCGAGTGTGAATTTTTAGGGTCAAATGGGAATCTGTGGAGACAAATGGAAATTTTTGAGGTCAACTAGGAAAACCGTGGTTAGAGAAAGAACTGCGTAGAAAGTGTAGAAGTGAATCTACGTTAACATTGAATAAGTACAACTATGAAATAACGTGTACTTCCTTTTCATGTTCACTTTAAGTAGTTTGGGAAAGCGCGTTTGATTTAGTTAGTTATTGCATGACGCTCATGGAGATCGTGGCGTATGCAAAGCGTTATTCAGTCAGCATAGTGTGCAATTGACCGCTATCGACTTCGTCACAAAGACACTGTCACCCTGACTAAACACTAGAGCCTTGGGAACATGTTAGATCAACGTCCTTTCAATGGTATGACACACAGATAATAATTAAATTTTCAGAGGCCGTGGCCCTCTGAAGACCACGATGGACGTCATCAACGCGGCCAAGAAGATCTCCGAAGCCGGAACCAAGCTCGATAAGCTTACAAGGGAGATTGCTGAACAGGTATACGCGTGCGCATTGCCCTACACCACGCATAACTTGCTTTTGCCATACCCAAAAACTACGCTAAAGTGGCACACGATATATCTTGCCTTCAATGTGTTTGTTACACCCAGTGCCACACCAAAATGATTCTACGAAATTGAACTCTATTTTCTACTATGCAGTGCCCAGAATCGTCTACCAAGCAAGATTTGCTGGCGTACCTGCAACGCATCGCTCTCTACTGCCACCAGATCCAAATCACTAGCAAAGTGAAGGCAGATGTGCAGAACATTTCCGGAGAACTTATTGTTAGCGGGGTGAGTGAAATTATTTTTCCAATTTAATCTTATTGTTTAACATATTGCAGTTATCAGGATACGTAATAATATAGCAATCTATAAAAGTTTCTTTTTTGTGAGAAATAGATGTACCTGATATTAACGACAATGACACCGAAAGTATCCAAAAATTACAAGCGCATGGGACTTGTCAATTTAAGTATCAGGGCAGGCGCAGTGGCAGTGTCCCTTAGATCTTTGTAATTAAAGTAAGAACTTTTGAGTAACAAGATATAACCGACAATTTTTCTCTCACGCGGCAGCAGAGATTTCGACATGTGTTTTGATTATAGTGACCCTCTAGGGAGGGCGCTTTTTCCCATATTAATTACTCCTATATTGACATATCAATCTCTTGGTAATGCAGGAAGAAGCGCCCGGGCAAAAATACGTCGTAAATCGGGTTTTACTACAGATTTGCGAAATGGATATTGTACTTTTTACTCTGAAAACCGATGGTGGACTCCATGTAGTGCGTTTCCATACAAACTAGTGGTAAAATTTGGAAAACGATGTGTCCTATTTATTTTAACACCTGTTCTTTTATTTCAGCTGGATAGTGCAACCTCGCTGATCCAAGCAGCAAAGAACTTAATGAACGCCGTTGTTCTGACGGTTAAGGCTTCCTACGTTGCATCTACCAAGTACACCAGACAAGGAACTATAGCTGTAAGTGTGAAATTCTTTATCTTTATATACATTATCGCAGAAATAACTAATGCAGGGAAATATGTACCATGTTTTTTATAAAATATTTTTAAATTTAAACTACTTAAGAATAATGGTTGGAATATAAATACAAGGCGTGGCAGTGGTTACCAAATATACTGTCTCCGTGACCGTGACCATGCTGATCTAACACGCAGAGGTCTCGGGTTCGATTCCTGGGCCGGAAATAGTAAAAAAATGCTATTTTGTGGCTTACAACTTACACGGAAGGTTTCGAGATATATGCTATTTTATTTATTGTTTTTATACCCCATTAGTACGCCTTGTATCCCTTAATATTATTTAAGAAGTTCTAATGCTACTTACGCAAGCTATATACTCCTAATTTATTAATCTACCGCTAATTTTCGCTCGCTGGACAGAACAATTATGTAAGTCGTAGTTGTTTGATATTATATGATGTTTTAGTTCTTGGTAATTGTTCGATTTTATTTAACTCATTTCCTTTACAAAACAAGTTTTAAAATATTTTGGACTATGATGAACAGAGTTCGGAAATCGCAGAGTATATTTATTTTAAGTCAAGGAAGTATATTCATAAAGAGGATAATAACTCCCTTTTTAACCTCGGCATTGTTAAAAATTAAAACATAATAGTTTAAATAGTTAAGTTTAGTTTTTTCGGATGTAAATTGCGTATTTTTTTTATTTAAACAAACCGACGTTTCGGGCCCTTTACTGAAAAAATTATGAACTGGAAGGAAAAAAGAAGCTCTTTCACAAGGAACTTTTTTCCCACGTTACACTGAACTTACAAGAAACCTAACGAAAAGTTTTCAGTGTTGGAGATGTTTTCATAGTCCAAAATATAACTTCAATGAATATTTTTTGTAGTAAGCTTGTCTTAGTTGCAAAAGCGTGTATGTAATTTACATTTTTTTTATATTCAAATTTTCGACACGTTCATTTTGTATGCTTATTTATAATTTTTTTTTCCCTGCAATTCTCGTAGATATATGTAGATGCTGTAATAAACAAATTCCATTAACATAGTGATACAATAAATTTAAATGCATTAATGTGCCAGACGACAACAATAGTTACCTAGTTAGCACCGTGAGTGCTACATGAGGAGGGTTCGCTTCCCACTAAGACAAATTTGGGAAATTTCTACGTCTGGCTGTTTTCAAGACACTGTCTCTGGAGTTAATTTCCTTGCTCTAGTTCTCATATCAACACTTAACTTTTTATGTCAAAATAAACTCAAATTCATTTCATCATAGAGAAGAAATAGCACTCTCAATCTTAAAGTGGCATAGTTCGGAAAGCTATTTTCGGAGAAACTGACAAAATAAATTTAAGAAGTAAACTACATGGCACCAATTCTATTTGAAATTAAAAACGACCGGCGCGTTGAATGGTTTTCAACCAGCTGTCCCACAAAGGTAGAAACAGTGCCACTAGATTCCTATTCTCATATGATATCTTTTTTTTGTAAAGGACATCTTGCAGTTGACCCCTGAATGCTCTTAATTCGTTTCATAATTTAAGTAACATGCCTCAGGGCGCCCAGGTAAGTACTGATCTCGTCTCAGGACGCGCAGCAGATAGGATCTACGCAAGAACACACTGAACTGGGAAACTCTTCATATTCGCCGGCGACGGTGGTCATTTCGTGAATACCGGATCTGACACACTTCACCGGTCTCATTTTGGCTGAATGTTTCAGGGTACAAGTCATGCCATCTAAAGGTGGCGCTCGGTACAAAATTTTACATTGTAAAAGTGTTACATTGTTTATTTTCGTTACTTCATTACTAAGTGCGAGTGGTGAACAACGCAGCAAACTTCCCTAATGTATGTAATATAAAGTTCACTGTGAAATTTACAGTCCCCCATCGTAGTGTGGCGCATGAAAGCCCCCGAGAAGAAGCCCTTGATCCGCCCGGAGAAACCTGAGGAGGTTCGCGCGAAAGTGCGTCGCGGCAGTCAGAAGAAGCAGCCCTCGCCTGTGCACGCGCTGGCCGAGTTCCAGAGCCCGGCCGACGCCGTCTAGGGGTCAGTTGGCTCTGTTTCCTATTTACCCCACTCGTTTTTCTAACATTTGATTCCTACAGTAATAAGGCACGTGTTCTGCACAAGATCAGTGATTTTCTATTATAATGCAGGTCGTCAGCGCAAAAGTGGTGTAACCCCATGAAATGCATATAGAAGATAATGAGCAGTGATACGAATTGAAGGAGTTAATTTGTTGCAACAAAAATGTCAGATACGGCAATGTAAAAGCAATGTGTTTTGCCGAGGGATAGGAGACCGCATGTTTCTTGTTCGTAAACACAGCAGTACTACTCTGTGGTATTAATACCCAGGCAAGCTACACAGAAATCTATCAAAAATAAAAAATAATTGCCGTCTTAATAGTAATGATTTCATAACACGTTCACTGTCTCCCATATAAAGACTGAAATCAACCCCACATGTCCACCGGAATTTGTGTGAAATTGTGTCGGTTTTGTCTTTTACTCTCACATATTGTATACCCAAATTATTCTGTTATTTTTGAAAAATTACACGTCCTATAAAAGACTACCCGATTTACTACTACAAATTTAAAAATTCAAGGCTTAGATCTGCAAGTCATATTGAAATAGTATGTAGTTGCGAATCCATAGGTATGCGTGGACTTAATGGTTGAAGCCAATTTGCGACTGCAGGTGCCGTCATGAATTGTGTACGTTTAACTTATTTTTATTTTGAATTTTTAAGTGTTCTAGTACAAATTCCCCATTTCACCCATTCAATGTAACCTTTATAAATTTTCCAATGCAATGAATTTCCCATTTGCCCCCCTCTATCAAAATTCCCATCTGACCCCCGCCTATTTTACCACAAATTAACGCACTAATAACTCTTTGTTACAGACGTTCGTCAGCGCACGCTGAAAAAACTAAATGACACTAATTTCTTATGTAAAAAACGTATTGACCACCGATATTCGTTTTGAATTCTATTTCGCGTTGATTAGTAAAAAAACCGCTCATACATTAATATACTAGAAATTATATTTTGATTTTTGCCTTAATATGATATTTTAATAAGAAAAAAATAATAATTGGATGCTGAAAATCAATAACATGATCATAGTTTTGACAAAATGGCGCGTAGATTTTTTTTCGTGGTTCGGTTAATAGATTTGTGTCATCTGTTTATTTTTTCAATATTTGGATGTTTCAAATCGCTTTGTTCGCAACGAGACGACAACGTACAATTTGACATTAAAATATCAATATTCCAGTTTTTGCAGCTTAGCACGTTTATTGCTTATCAACATCCAATTGTAATAAGCCAAAAAATGTCTTAAAATTTGACTGAAGTTCAATTTTCATCAATATAAAGGAATTGCAAAGAAACCTTTATTTGAACAACAATAATTATGTTGAATAAGTAAGTTGTCAAACTTTATAATAAGGAAAGTGTGTTTTCAATTTTGTCGTCCAATTAGACACCCTATGGCAACGGCGGAGGGTCAATATTTGAATATAAATGACTTACAATAATAATTTAAGCTCAGGTGGGATAAGAGGAACACCGGGGGAAGAAAAGCCTTAACACATCATCTAAAGAGATTTTAGCAATATAGTCTCTCAGTAGATAAAACAGACAAATTAGTTTCAACAATATTAAACAGATGTCGCTGCGATGCTCCGAATCTAAAAGGCGGGAAAAACAAATTTGACAGTTGTATAATCTTGTAACATACTCTATCAAGAGGATTGCTAATATGTAAACTACAGATCGTAACTCTGAAAAAGGTCAACGTTCCGTCTTATGTCTAGACATAATCGACATGACGCTGCAGCGACATCTACACTTGTGGGACAATGGGAAGACTGCCGTCTACTAACTAGAACCCGGCTAAGTGACAAATGGTGAAATATTCGGTTTAAATAGCAAAAGATAGAGTACAAAATTCTATTTTAAAAACAGTTAAAATTAGTTAACGTGTGCGACTTATCGGAACTTACCCTAACGACGCATAGATGACATATCAATAAACAATTTCAATGTTCTAAAACTGGGTTATGGTTTTTTATGATGTTTCAAACAAATATAAAGAAGAAGAAGAAAGAAACATTTATTCAGTACCTTTAAATTGTATGTACATAAAAATAAATTAAAACTAAAATTACTGATACTGAATGGGCACCGCTCAGCATGTGCCGTGGCTGAGAACAGCCACGTCGCTGGTATTATGCGGAGCCCAGGGAGTGCGTCACAGGCGCACTAAACTAATACTACAAAAACATTGACTTATTTAAATTCGCAATATGCGTACAATGAATTTATGATGCGACAAAATGTGTGATGCTTAACTATATCTATACCTATTGTTAATTTATTTATAATTAATTTATAATATTATGTTATGTATGCAAACACCATTCAACTATCAAACAAACTTCATTATATATAAAAAGAAAAGAAAAAACTACTTATTTCCTAACTATAAAGTTAGAACTGATTTCAAAAAGTATAATCGAATTTTTAAAATATTTTGTCACTTTGCCGCGTGCATAGTTAGCGGACGGCAGAAGAGACCGATAAATTGTCGACGCGATCTACTGGGCACGCTAGACACGACTGTCGTTCAATGATAAAAGTAACGTCCACAACTCAATCACGACAGATAGTCGTAACGATAAATAAAACATTACGACATGTTGGAAAGCGACCTTATTCCACCTGACCTTACTTCTTGTTTAAGAGCCATATTTTTGCCAGTGGCGTCGGAAAATTTATTCCTTAAAACATTGACTTACAAATAAATGGACGACGGGTCTAATACAAAAACCACGAAAAAAATGTCCCAAGTCAACCTATTTAAACGTAGTGACATGTAAAGGAATATGAAAAAGCTAAAACGTTGAATTTAAATTGTAATGTCATCGCAGCACTGTCTAATTTTGCTTGCTTCGCTGTCAGTCGAACAAACGAAGACTAAAGCGCGAATGACGCTCTGTATACGATTTTAACGCCCTATAAGTTCGGACACTTTTTAGCGCGAACATGACGTCCATATAATTGTAAGTCAATGCCTTAAAAACAAAAAGACCCTTCGCCACAGCCCTATAGATATATCAAATAAATTAATTTACAAGTAAATAAAAAAAAACGCCTTTATGAAGGTTACTGTAACCACGCCCTAAAACAAAGGAACGTCCTTTATAGCGCCTATGCTTTTAATTATTTTTAATTTTGTTTGTTAAATTTTAAAACAACACTATCTTATAAACGTTCCACTGTTGAGCACTGGTTAATTGACACGTCTTTGGAGAACCATAAAACTACGTAACCCCAAGCATGGTAATTTTGCAATTATGATAATATTTGTTATTCTTTTAAAAGCGAGCAATGCTCGGCATTTATCTACGTGATCGAATCAGAAATTAGGAGATCCGTAGAAGAACTAAAGACACCGGCATGCCCCGAAGGATTAGCAAGTTGAAGGGACGATGTAGCTCGTGGGGCAAAAAGTTCACTGGAATGGCCCCCTATTAGATGGATATCCGTCCTGGCAAGGGCAGCAGGTAACCGAAGAATGCACATTATTTGATTTTTAATCCGGGACTTAATCACATGTAAAACATTTTATTTACCTCGACGTTTCGGACGTATTGCAACGTCTATGTTCTCGAAGGGACTGAAGAGGCAGGTGTCAGAATCTACTGACCGTGAGTGTTATGTGTCGGTCTAGTGAGAACCCTATTGGACAAATAAATAATGAAGATCAAGTGCGGGTACCGGCTTCTTCAGTTCATTCGAGACCATGGACGTTGCAATACGTCCGAAACGTCGAAGTAATTAAAATGTGTTTTATACGTGATTAAGTTCCGAATTAAAAATCAAATAATGTGTGAAAATCGAGAGAGGCCTATGTTCAGCAGTGGACATATTCCGGCTGTTGGTAGTTGAGTTTCAATAGAGTGCCAGTGTAAAGGCATTCATTCATTCAATCACTAACGTTCGATGTTGCCTCACTAAAACTGCCATGGAAATTACTATGCGTATCTTAATTTTTATTTCGTTATCGACGCCTCCTACGTAAAGTATCGTATGTCGAAATTGCCAAGTTTACAGGGGAGTGTTTTAAAGTTCTCCGTTTCATTTGGCAAAGCTTGTTACTCACCTAGAGTGATCATCTAATAGATCATCTAACCGATATCTAGGATTTTATGATACTCAACGTGTGTTACGAGATTTGCCGAATAAAAGTGAGAAATCTAAAGTCACGTGTTATGCTTATTTCAGTGAATTCAGAACTTTAAAAGGCTCCTCTGTAAACTTGGCAATTTTGACATACGATACTTTACGTGGGAGGGGTCGATATACTGGTTCACTACGTTCTATCGAACCTCGCCATTGAAAAGCAGAATATCAAAAAATTGCAATGGCAGTTGAATAGTACCTGAGGTGGCAGACACGCAACTGAGGTGATTTAACATTAGCAGACTTGGGGTACTGATTTCTTACCACGGTATGAGTTCTTATCCTGCAACTGGCCAGTCAACCCGTGACCACGGCCCCTCCAATTATGCTCTACATCCCAAACTATCCATTAATACGAGACCGGTGCCCCGCAGTGAGACTTCTATAGGTAAGTGATGATAATGTCAAATTATATATTTTTTTAGGTCCTTAGGGTCTTACCTATTTCTGCCGCCATGCTGTAATATCAGCATTACTGTGTTCCGGTTTTGAAGGGTAAGGGTGCTGTTAAAGGCAGTGTTGGGCATAATTCAATTGTTCTGGCAATTAAAGATTGACAATTAATTAATTGTCAATTGCGAAACGGCAATTAACGATTGATCAATTGTTAATCGCGTATATCTATCTACAATTAACAATTAATCAATTTTCAATCTTTTCAATGTTTTTGATTAACAATTAAAACTGACAATTATGACAAATTTATAGGGCATATGGGGGTGGGTTAGGAGGCGGGTTAGGATTTGGGTTGGTGGGGTTAGGGTTTGGGTTGGGGGTTAGGATTATTTTTAGGATTTGGGTTGGGGGGGTTAGGGGTGGGTCACAAACCCTGACTCCACCACCGGCCCCCCAACCGGCCCCCTAACTCTTTTTAATCTTATTAAAATTAATCGACGCGTCGCAATTGATTTAATTGCAATTGAATTGATTTTTAATCTGATTGAATTTCTGATTGAAATTTAATTGATTAACGCCCAACACTGATTACAGGCACATGGGACTTGTCAACTTATGTCTCAGGGGGTCGGGTCATTTGATGTTATAAAAAAAAGGTTATAATTGTGTTCTTGTAACCGTCATTTTATATTATTTTTATTAATACAAAGATCGAACAGTAATAAGAAAAATATCCTTAAATTTCACTGTACTCGAACCAGCATATGTTGCCACACCGGCTGCCACTTTTACCAACATTGGTGTAACGAACAAGTCGTGCGCCCGTCAACCTAAGACATAAGTTGATAAGTCCTATGTGCTCGTAATTTAACTAGCACCCCTTTAAAACGCAGTAATGAGAGACTGGTTGGCGGCCGAAATAGGTAAGGTGGTACTTCTATAATTGTTTTTGTGTTTATTTATAATGGATTGTTTTCACAAAATTTAGAATATTATGGTTGTCAAGACATGACATTTAACAACAATAAAATAAGAAATGTACTTTCCAAAATTTTTCTATTTGCGATTAGGTAGTAGGCATAAAATGAGATGGTACAATAATGTCAGCCAAATTAGTAAGAATTCATAAATTTTAATTGACAATTTGTAAGTTAATTTATAAAATGTATTTAGCAATTTTTTTTATATTCGATAGTGTAAGCATTAGATTTAGCATCGTCGATTATTGTTTTTTTTTCTACATACGTACGTGTACCGAGGTAGGTAGACACTCTATAGACTGCCACCCTCTTTTCTCATCCTTTTCAAACACGCCCATTATATGATTGAACTTATAAAGAAAACAATAATCAACCATTTGTACAATATACATTGACTTACAAATAAATGGACGACGGGTTAATACAAAAACCACGAAAAAAATGTCCCAAGTCAACCTATTTAAACGTAGTGACATGTAAAGGAATATGAAAAAGCTAAAACGTTGAATTCAAATTGTAATGTCATCGCAGTACTGTCTAATTTTGCTTGCTTCGCTGTCAGTCGAACAAACGAAAACTAGAGCGTGAATGACGCTCTGTATACGATTTTAACGCCCTATAAGTTCGGACACTTTTTAGCGCGGACCCGACGTCCATATAATTGTAAGTCAATGATTATATATTATTTTAAGACTCGTGATTATTCACTTATTGATTATCCCAAATTACAGAACCTTAATTCTGCAAATTTTCTTTGTATTTGTTATTCTGCTAAAATCTAATTGCAATGGCAGTTCAGTCTCAATAATGTCAGTGATGCCATCCATTCACACAGGTTTGGTGTAAAACATCACACCGTTTCACAGCGCCACTACACATTCTCGCACCACCTCGCTATCTCGCACGTT